AAATGCTACATAAAAGAACAGGCATTCCTCCATTCTTCCAGCTGCTTTCCCTTCTCCCCACCAAGGTATGAAAAAGGAATTGTTTGCTTTACTAATGCATTTTGCAGTCTGACAAAAGTTATTTCTCCCTACATGCCTTATCTCAATATGTAGACCATTATAGCTGCAAAAACATAACTAGTTTCTTCCAGAAGTGATAAGAATGTGGGCTGGTCTTCAAGGAACTATAGTTATCTTGTATCTGCTTGATGTATAAAAACTTCCCTCACAAAATGCAACAAGAACACAGACCCCTACAAGGTCTGAGAGAAGATACGGGTAACAGAGAAGCACACAGGACTCTGCAGGAAAGAGACAAGAGGCTGACTAAGCTAGATAATATGGTTTGGTACAGAGAACTCTTAACTACAACAGACGTCAAAGTCTCAGTTGACATTTGCACAACCGACTCTAATTGTCTGGGCTTTTGCCCCCTGTGTGGTAGAAAATAATTTCAGCTTAAAGAAAAAAATAATAAAAATCTTTGTGAGAAACTTGACTACTTACTCCCTAAAGCATTGTGCGATGCCAGCTGCTTACTTGAGTGACGAGTCCTAGAAATGTAAAAATGCATCACAGTAATCAGTGGTAAGCTTCTTAATACTTGTGTGTGCTTTACGTATTTATGATTTTACTTGGAACCCTTGCATCTTGCAGTCCTGTCCTATGGAAGGATCGGAAATGAAATTTGTCTGTGTTCCTACAGAACGTTTTTTTTAAGAAACTTTTTCATCAGAATTATTTCTTCTCTCTCACCTCCCTGGTGAGCCTATTTTATTTTTTCAGTTTAAGTAACAATAAAAGATGTCTAGCTGAGACTCTCGACATCCTCACATATCATTAATAATACAATATCACCAGCATTTAAATAACTCAGTAGGAACCTGCCCAGTCACCTACATTAATTCCCTTCTCTTTCTTCGCTGCTTTTTGAAGCACACCATCAGAAGTTCTATCAAACGTATGTCAGGTGTGATAAGTGATGTGCTTTATTTTCCTTTTACTGACTCAGGATAACGTTTTACCCACAGGAGGTAATGGATCAGAGTACTTGCTGTCACAGAAAACACTGTCCTAGAATGGGTCCTTGGGTGGATGCTATATTCTGTAATAATGTACCTTTCCGTGGACTCCGGTATTCACACAGCCAAAATAGCTCCTGGATGAACGGGTGACTGTCATCTCAACTGGTCCATATTAGCGGCTCACATCAGTGCAGTTACCTAGAATTAATTAACTGCAGTTAACGGGAATTGGAATCTCAACAGCTTTTTTCAGTGAGTTGCAGCTACTCCAGTTTTGGGGTGTGAATCCGTTGTCCGACTGGCCTGTTGTAAAGTTTGAACCCAAGATGCTAGCCCTGGTCCTTGTCCCATTGCTCCCTCCCTGTACTGCCAGTGTGTCCTACAGTTCTTGTCCTAAATTGTCAAGAAAGGGGGAATCCCTCTCTATTACTGCTTAGGTCTGGAAAAGCTGTAGATATTGTACTTTGAAAATCTGGCAGAGAAGAGGACGGGAACTGTAGAACGGCACAACTACAGGAAGCGGATTCTTACCACACAGCTTAGGAAATGACTGTGATTCCAACACACTTTCCATTTCTAAGCGTTTTGCTTTGTAGCTCAGGCTGCTCAAATTAGACTGCTGTCAGCACCTGCGGTGCGTAGGCACTGCCTGTATGTTGCTGTTGCTAGCCTTTGCAAGGTAGAAATAAATGGCAACTTTCCTTCGCACCGCCTGTGGGGTTTTTTGGGGTTGGTTGGTTTGTTGTTTAAAGCGGTGAAGGGGCTGGGTAGCGTTCCTTGTAATTTCTGTCCTTTCCAGGGTCCAGCTCCTCGTAAATCTACCCACCGAGATTGCTTTGCCTGAACAGGTACCTGCAGAGACTCACCCACGAGCAGTTACGCCCTGGCCTGAGAACAGCAGCTGAGGTGAAGGTGCGCAGCAGGAGCAGTCCCGTTACCAAGTGACCCTCACACTGTCCTACGATACCAGTCCGATTCGAGATCCTCAAGTTCTCCTAAGTACGCAAAAAATTCTGAACAGCGCACCAGCACCCTCCTTTTCTAAACCCGGCCTTGCTGCGCGGCGTTCGCGTTGAACGGTGCATCTGCGGGGGGAAGGACGCCCTCCCCCTCTACTGGGCTGGTAGGGAACGCGCCGCCTCCTGGAAAAGGCGGGTCGCGGAGAAAGGCCGCTCTGGACGGCGGCACGGCGGCACGGCCTCGGCGG